GCTAATTTTGATCCTCCAACATATTGATTATAATTTCTGCTATTAGTTCTGATATTACATTCAGAAGGCTCAGCCTGAGTCAGACTGTTGAAAAAGAGGTGAGAGTGATCTGCTGCACATCTGTTTGCAAAGATGCTCAAGGTTATTCCTGAGAAGAGAAAAAGTCATAGAATGGGCAAATTCTAGAAGTGGAAGAGATGCACATATGTGTAATTTCCAGGTTTGGGAGCTATAACAGGAATATACGGAATATTTGGAGTGCATTAGAATTAGAGACAGAGGTAGTGGTCAAGCAAGGGTTGGCAATTGGCAGTGCATCAGAGAGACAATACCCAGTGCCATTTGTCATGTTCACCATAATGTGTTCTCAGCTGAATTTCCAACTCTGTGCTACAGCTTTGTGTGTGTCACTGCCTGCATCCTGATCAGATGGCAGTACATTGACAGATATGAAGATTGTCCCCTGGGGGGTCAATATATCTGCACTGCAAGGTGGGAGTTTCAAGTTTCATGGGGACTGGGGGAATTACACTCACTTTCTGATGATAAAGATGAATTTTAGCAGAGATTGCAACTTGTGAAATAATGGTGTTTTAGTACAAAATTAGGACATCAAAATTGAGCCTCAAGCAGAAAAAAGAAATCTCTCTTTCATCCTCCTCTTATCACCTGCCACAAATACTTCCTCCTTGGAAAAAAATCCAAAAACACTTGGAGTACTGTTTCAGCATGGGATAAAGTCAGATTCAGAAAATTAAACCTGGGAGCAACAGCAGCTCCTATCCACATGGTTTGGCAGGATTGCAGGCACACTCTGCACGCGTCTCTGTGTTCCCATAGTATACAATACTTCAGATGAGAAGTAATGGCCTCAAGTTGCGCTAGAAGGAGGTTTAGGAAAAAATTTTTCTCAGAAAGAGTGGCCAAGCATTGGAACAGGCTGCCCAGGGAAGTGGTGGAGTCGCTGTCCTTGGCGGTGTCAAGAATGTAGATGTGGCAGTGAGAGACATTGTCTAGTGGGCATGAATGTGACTCACGGTTTGATGGTTGGACTTGATGATCATAGAGATCTTTTGCAACTTTAATGATTCTATGATTTCAGGTATAGATGATGTTCCTTGCATTACAGAAGCAAGAACAGAGATGGAGAATTAGCAGGCTTGGGATAACAGGGCAACTTTAGCCACAGCAAAGGGCAAGAGTTCTCTAGGTCTCCATTAGCAGGGCAATAGATCCTGCAGGTAGCAGAGGAGTAATGACTATTCCCCTAATGTGACCCTGCTTGATGTTCTGTCATCAGTATTTTTAACCCTGGTGCTTTGGAAACGGAGTGCTCCTGATTCATATTTAATTGTTTGTGGATTAAGCCAACTCTGGGATTGTATCTGCAACCCAGCAACACTGCAGCTTGCAAGCAACTCTACTGACATCTGCCATGTACTGCTTCACATCCTGAAGTTGGCTGAACTTCCTGAACTTGGCTAGCACTGGGGGAAGGACTGGAGGTGAAGGGGAGCAATCTCAGTTCTGATTACCCTGATGGTGTTTGGGAGCTTATTTTCACCAGGCTGGCTGCTTGCTGTCACTAATTCATCACTTCATCCACAGGATGCTCACACCACTGCCACGCATGCTGAGCTTGGTAGGTTGGCCAACATCTCTGATGATGACACATAGTAATTTGCTTCTGAAGGGAGCATGGGTTGGTTTTGAGTATAACAGGACTGGATGTTACTGTAGGACTGAAGGGAGGAGATAAGGTCTTACAGGCCTCCTTGGGTTGGGAGAGAAAGTGTGTGTGGTCTGCTAAATGCTGCTGGAATGAGGAAGGAAGAATTGTTGCTGTCTTAGTGATCTCCAAGATAAATCTACACCGATGCACTATCAGCTAAGAGAAATGCTTCTCTTGGGACAGTTCAGTGTGACCATACAACTCTGGCACAGTGTGTTGCTTGGCTGATGCACTATAATGATTAAAACCTTACAGCTGTTTCTAGCTAAGGGATCTGAAGACCGATAACCTGAATTTGCTGATCCTGCAGTATTTCCCACAGGAGGCTGTGCTGCTGAGCACATATGTTACTTTTCTAAGCTACCATCAAGCAGTCAGCAAATCTTTGCCTGTTTGAATAGTGCTGTTTCTGAGCAATGTCATTTTCCTCTATTTGTGCTTGTTTTAATTGGGTGGTGGAAGGCACAACAGTCTGTTGGTCACAGATTTGCTCTTTGTGGGCCTGAAGTGGACAAGGGACAAGGTTCAGAGCAGATTGTTTTAGTTGTCATCTATGTGTGTGGATTCCTATGTGGCAGTGTCTTCCCTTCTTTTGAAGGTAGGGTTATGCTATCAACAGAAGGCATTTGGTATTTGTTAGAAATGTTGAGACTGGCAAGAATGGATGAAAATCAGTGTGGAAGCACCAGAAAGAACCAATAGTGGAAAGGCTGCATAAATGATAGGTGTAAATGGTCCCCATATGAGCAAATTGACAAAATCCCAGCATTATGTTCACTGTCACAAGACATTCAGACTTGAAGATTAATGCCAGTGAATAAATTCTGATGAGTCATGGAAGTGGGACAGTATGGTGATATCTAGCACAGACAGCTCCTCCAGGTACAGAAGGGTACATCCAAACTCAGCTCACTGTCTCCAAATGGGGAGAAACCCAAGAAATGTGATGGAGATTTGGCAGTCATTGTCCCTTGTGTCTGGAGCAGAGAAAAGCTGAAGGGCTTTGGAATGTCAATGGCCTGAAATATGACATTCAACAATATCCCAAGAGGATGTAAGGACAGGAAGAAGCCTCACTCATTCACATTTCTGTAGCCAGCGAAAAGCTTTCCTTGGATTTAAAACTGGAGTTGAAATTGTCTTTGCCTCTGAGTCATTCCTGAAATCTCTCCCATTGCTATTTGTCAGATACAATCACTCCAGAAATAGCAAGTAGTGGCAGAAGCAGCATCTGTGGCCCAGGGAATACACTGTAGACTTCATGAAAATGGTGCCTGTAATGTGCCCAACTGATGCAGAATTAATCAGGTTTGAAAAAAGAACACGGCTTTTGCACCCTGGGGGACTGTTGCTAAAAAATCTTGCCTACGCAGATCTTCCCATCCTGCTCCTTGACATAACTTCTAAGGGAAATAAATGAGTTTATCTCCCACATTGCCTGGAGACCTTTCACATGGAAATAGTGGGATTAAGGAGATTAAGATTTAGCTTCAACTTGGATAAAGAACAACAAAGAAGAATGATTAACACATGAAATGATTCTCAGTCATTAGATCTGAAGTCCAGTCTCTGTATACTGCCTCAAGTGACAGCTTTTCTGTTGTGTTCATTGCTGTCACATCTGATCCCATAAGAGAAGAAGAGTAAATCAATTGGTTCCCTACAATGGAGTGGGTTGGCTCTAAAACGCCCATGAGCTCGGTTATGGAAGAGGGAGAAGGTATGGAAAAAGGAGACTGGTAAGATTTCTGGGATGAATGTAGGGAAAATTCCCTCTGAGGAAGGCAGGAAAGCATGGAGAACACAGATAAGGAGATAGAAAGCAGAAGCTAAGAGTTGAGGTATGGATTTGGGGAAAGTAGGAGGGAGAAGGTCTCCTTCTTAAAGCAGACTTGGCTTCCAGCAGTCTGGCGATCTTTCTGATCTCTCACTTGGAGTACACTGCAGTTGGGCCTTGGAGCTGAAGTTAACTGGAAAGATGTTACTGTCCTGATCCGTGACCACCACATTTCCTGAGGGAGACTCCTGGCTATCTTGGACCTACATGAACCATAATGACATGAAAGTGAACAATGCAAACAACCACGTGATGTCTGTGTGTGAAAGCAGAAGTATTCAGCCTCACAAGACCCTGACACTGCAACCAGGCACTGGTTTCCTCTTTAGCTGGACAAACTTTTTCCAACCTCAGTGGCTGAGGCAGTCTCTTCATGTCACTTTGTAAGCTTTGGAGATTCATTACCACCAAGATTCTTTTGTTGTCAGTGTGGAGGCACCTTTTGGAGCTGGAATTTCTGTTCCTTCATCATCTTTTCTTTAGAATCTGGATCATGAGGCTTTCAGAGAGCCTGGATCATCCTTCCTTCAGAGCTTGGATCATGAGGCCAAGCCACCAAATGAACACATCCTGAGGATGGGAGCTCCTGTTTGGCCTATGGTGTTGTGATTCTGACAGACTCAAAGAGAAGTTAGATCTTCTGCCAGTAAAAGGAAGCTGTCAAGCAGGGGAATTAGAGATCTTGGAAAGGCAGGGGGCATGTTGGCAATGAGCAGAGGCAGCAAATACAACGCTGGACTCTTTTAGCCTTGTGAACGCTTTCAGATTTTCCCTGTGTACAGGGTCATGCCTTCCCCATGTTCAGGACTAGTCTTCCTTGGTCTTGGATGTAGGCATTATGGGCTCAAATCCATTGTCTGTGTGGCCCCCATGTTCAACAGACTGGGCCTACCTGTGGCTTCATCTTCTGGACTGATGGGGGTAAAGAGCAAGGGGTTTGCTTAGTGGGACTCACAGATCAATTTTTTTTCCTGAACAGATGGTACAGGACAATGTACTTCAAAATCCAATTTTTGAAGTGTATACCTTCCCATGTCAGGCTGACTTTTCCCTATGAGGACAAGGTAAACAGTCTCCATTGTGCAGTCTCCATTGAGGTTTTCAAGACCAGGCTGAGTAGAGCCCTGAGTAACCAAGCCTAACTCCCATAGTGGTGTTTGCATTGAGGAGGAGGTTGGGCCTGGGTGGTGACGTACTGGTGACAATATGGTAGGATGCTCAGTTTTCCCAAAGAGATGCCATTCACTGACTCTAGGTCACCATTGACATTGGTGACCTGAAGCCAGCTGCCCTACTTGCTTGGTGCAAAGTCAAGGCCTCGTGGTACCAAAAAGCTTAATACCACGTTAACATGATATCTAGGCTTAGCTCTCCCCAGCATGGCATTTTGAAGTTAGCTGGGCCATAGACAAGTTCAGTTTCTAGACTCACCCCCAAAGCTGGTGTGATCAGGATCGCGTTGGAGGCTGGGGGTCCACATCCAGGAGGGGTGCCTGAATTGCATTCTATGCATGACCTCACAGTTTTGGCTTGAGCTCACAGTGACAGAGGCCTCAGGTGTCCTGTGCTTATTACACACCTATGAAGCAGCAAAGCACTTGGTCTTCCACTTCCTGCCCCACTGAACTGGTTGTTGTGTTCAAATCATATTCCTAGGAAGATGGAATGTCCACCACTATCACCACCAGCTGCTTGGTGAGGACAGATCTTCTCAGTGTGATCTATGGAGTCACTCAGCTTTAAGATTACCGAGTGGAATCTCAGTAGGCAGGTAACTGCCTGCTCATTCTGCTTTCTTCAGTGGAGAGAGCAAACACACCTCTCTGCACACAACCAATGTGCGTCACTGATATTTCCACAGGGTAGGTTAAAATTAGAAGCCCTTCTTGCTGGCAGAATTGGATGTGCAAAACCTCTTGGACTTCTTGCAGACTTAGTACTATGACTGCTGCAAAATTTGCCTTTTAAAGGAGACTTTACTCTCACCCTGCAAATTTCAGTGCTTCCTAGTGATTCTAGACTTGCTTCCCCACACAGCTGGCTGCTCACATGTTGTGGAGTTCAACATGTCTAAGGTGAAAAAAGTGTGTGAGGTCAGAAAAGCGCATGAGATCCTGGTTCCAGGTCCTTCATGCCCCTGTATACTTTAAAGGTACTCTGGAGACTGCAGAGAGGTGCAAACCAGCTTGAAGCCTGCTTGCTCTTGGCCTGATCTGCAGGTCATTGCTGGTTTCTTTACATAATAACTTGGTCTCTTTTTGTGCTTTCCCATATGTTAGATGGGACACAGATGTTTGCTCTGACAATGAGTCATTAAGACAGTGTCAAGAAATCTGGTGTATTTGCAGCTGGATTGGAGAAAGTCAAAGTTTGTATCATGCATGAAAACAGCAGAGTTCATGTGCTTTTGTGGGAGTCTGGGGACAGCCAGACCAATCAGCCCCAACAAACGAGTACCTCTCTACAGCCAATACAGTTATAAATTTGCCTGTTCCTGCTGTTTAACATAGTTGAGTCAGGACTTACCACGTGTATTAATGTAAGACAGCTCAGTGGGACCTTCCTGCTTCTAAGGTGTCCAGATGTGACTGCAATAGCAATTCTAGGTTCACCCCTTGTGTGCATGTGCTGTACTTTCAAATACACAGGCAGAAAGAGACTGAGACTCCTGCTAGAAAAAAAACAGTGCTAATGGCTTTTATGATATGGTTGCTTATCAGAGGACCCTGGATATCAGTTTTGCTTACCCTTGACCTTGTAGGGTCTTTCCACTGAAGCTGGAGCACAAGTCTTATGAGGAGCATCTGAGGGAAATGGGAGTGTTTAGTTTGGAGAATAGGAGGTTCAGGGGTGACCTTATCACTGTCTACAACTGCCTGAAAGTAGATCATGGCAAGATGGGGGTCAGCCTCTTCTCCCACATAACTAGTGATAAGACGAAACGGAATGGCCTCAAGCTGTGCCAGGAGAGATTCAGTTTGGAAAAATTTCTTCTCCAAAAGGATGGTCAGGCACTTGAACAGGCTGCCCAGGCATTTGGTGGACTCACCATCCCTTGAGGTGTTCAAGAAATGTTTAGATGTTGCAGTGAGGGACATGATTTAGTGGGAAATATTGGTGATAGGTGGATGGTTGGACTGGATGATCTTGGAGATCTTTTCCGACCTTGATGATTCTTTGATTCTATGATAAGCTGAGCCTGCACCCAGTCCATCCTGGTCACTTTGCTCTGGGGCGAAGGAGAGGAACCTTGTGGCTCACAGGCTGGCCCAGTGTTGTGTGGTGTGGAGGTGCAGCTGGACTGCATGCTTTTCTGGCTCTCAGGTGCTGGAAAGAATGGTGGAAGTCCTTACAAGCCCCAAGTTTCAGGACTCAGGAAACAGGAAGAAAGTCCCTGCCTGGTTGAACTGTGATTTTTCTCAATGAGAACAGCTGATAGAGAGCTCCTGTAGGGGATGGAAACAAAATGTTAAAGTCTAGGCAGTGAGGCCACATCTTACATCGAAAAGGAGCCACTCCCCACCTAAAATACATGGCAAACTCTGATTTTCCTGGTCCATTGCTGTATTGCTGTTTAGTAATTGCAGATGTGGTTGCTCTTAGAGAAGAACTGGAGCTGCTGGAGCACTTTCTCCTTTTCCAGCTTTAAAAATTAGTAGGAAAGAGCCTCTGGAAGTTCAGGATTTGCATATATTTTAATTTAGAGGAACAAAAAAAGGCATGAGCAATGCTATACTCTATGCTATGAGTGTGCATTGATAGCTCACACTCTTACTGAAGTATTAGGAGATCTGTAGTGAGAAGACAAAGCTGAGGATGCTGTACAAAAAGAAAGAAAGGGAGAAATAATGAGTTAAAGCTGCATATGCATTAGCAGGAGACAGAGGAAGTAAAGGAGGACATGCAGGGGTCATCAATATCTATCTGTAGGTGTCCCTGTTCATTGCAGGGGAGTTGGCCTAGATGATCTCCAAGGGTCCCTTCCAACACAAACAATACTATGATTCTGTGAAAATGGCACATGCCCCTGAGAAATATTTCTGCTCATCTGTCCTGGAGGAGCTGCTACCATAAACCTAAAGAAGGGAAGTTATCACACAACCCAGAAAATACAGGGAAATATTTTCCATGCTGCTCTGGGAGACCAGGAAGTTATTTTTGGTCTCTGTAGCACAGTGAGTGTTGGTGGGAGCATGTGCAACAACAGAATTCTCAGCAGCTGCCATTGTATTTGCTCCTATCGACCTTATCACTAATAGGTGCAGGATATGAATTATAACAGTAAAGATGTAATCGGAGAAGCCTGGAGACAGCTCGTCTGCTAGGGACGAGCAGTTGCCATGACAGAGCCTCTCACGTTGCTTCTTTTCAAGCATAATGGCAGGTAAAACAAGGGCTCTGCAGCTTCTGTTGGCTTCAGCATAATGTAGGGGATAAGTGACTTCACTGTTCCCCTGGATGTGGGAGGTGAGGACATTTTTATGATTGTGAAGGACGAGGAAAGTCACGTTACTGCACTCCTGGTGAAACACTTTGATATTCTGCACAGCACTCAGGCTGGCAGACTTAATGTTATTCTTAGCTATTTCTTATTAAGTCACAACACATGCAGAAGTGCAACGGGAGCAAAGGATCCAGATCCTTCTTCATTTACAGCAGTTTGAACACTTGAGGCAGTGCTACATCCATTCATACCAGCTCAAAAAATAGCCCAGCAAATCCCACCTGGGGTTTAAACCTTACAAATCAGCTCATATGATCAGGATGGTTTGGAGGGGAAAAGCAAGCATCCTATATATGCAATGTCACAAAACTGGCATCTTCCCTATGCTGACTGAGGACTGAGTGACACGTATCCTTTTTGTAAGCAGGCCAAGGGAGAAAGATCTGGCACTAAGCAACATGTGCTTTATATCTGTTAGAGACTCAGAAATCAGTGCAGCTCCTTCTGTCCCAAGGTGTAATGAGAGAGCTTGGCCAGGCAGAGACATTACAGAAGGTTTCTGAAGGTCTTGAAGACACAGATGTTTTCCACATGCCTCTGCATGGCTCTGATCACAACAATAAGGGTTTGGGAAGGTGTTAGGGAAAGGATTGAGTCTCTGGAAGTTTGTATGAGTGTCTTTTTCTTCCATGTTCCTTCTTCCCTCTGCTGTGAAATCATCTTTAACACAAAAGAGACTGTCACTGGCTGTGGGACCATATAACAGGTTAAGGGAATTGTCCTGGCTGGTGGCTTTCTCTTGTCTCTGTAGCTCTTTTCAGCAAAAGAAAAACAAATGTTGAAGGGAATTGTGAATTTTAGCTCTCATGCACTTTGGAAGATCTAGGTTTTCCTTTTAACCTAAGAAATGCAGTTCAACTACTAGATGTATGGCCCAGCTAAACAAGTCCCAGAAATCTCACCATGTCTTCTGCCAAGACTCCAGAGTGTTTCACAAACATCATAAGACCTTAAGGAGGTTGGACCACTGTTCTTCCAGGAGAGACAAAAGAGGATTTTGTCTGGCTAGTGTCTGAGCAGGCATCTGCTGCAGCTCAACTGTGCTCTTCTTCGCTCCAGGTTTCTGCCACCTCCTCCAGCCATCTTTCACGTTTAGGGACTACTCAAATTTGCTCAGTGGATGTTAACCCCACAAGAGGAGCCTGAAGGCTGGTATTTTGTTTCCTACATTTCCTATGTAAACAAACTTCCACCTTTGGCTCATATCTGAGTTCCTCTAGCCAGATCCTAAGGAGACCTTGGAGCCTTGCAGAGGTTTTGAAGTTTTGTAACACATCACTGTCAAAGGCAAGGCTGTCCTTCTGCAGAGCTTCACAGAGTGAAGTATGGTAATGCATGAAACAACAAGGCAAAGTCTTGGAGATATGGGAAATATAGAATCATAGAATCATTAAGGTTGGAAAAGATCACTAAGATCATCTGGTCCAACTATCAACCCATCACTACTGTGGCCCACTAAGCCACATCTCTCAGTATCACTAAAAAAACAATGGGGAAGGACTTGGCATGCATCTATCTGGCTGCATTAAGGCTCTGTGATTTTCCATGTGTGCTTTCTTACACGCACACAATCTCAGTAAAGATCACTGCCAGTTTTAGGACACTACAGAAGACATTTGACCACAATGAACACTGCAGCTATATTTTGTGAGAGTAAAGCATTGCTGACATTGCTATTTGCACAGAAACCCTGAATGTTAACCATTAATTCATTCCTCTGCATGATCTACTCTCGCTAGTACATCCAGTGCCAGAAACACCTGCACACCAATGTTTGTATTGCTGGATCAAATTGCTTTTATGGTTTGTGATAACAGGATTGTTCATGTCCTGTGGAACATATCAGGCCTCATCAAAGTCAGGAAATGAGTAGAAGGATGGGTGACCTAACGTGCGGGTTCTCATTTTATTCCCAATCCACCGCAAGAAGAGATGCTCAGTGGTAACAGTCACAGTAGCAGTGACAAAGGTGTATCTCATGGTTTTTCACACTGGAAACATGCTCTTAGAGGAGAC